CTCGGTACTTGGCTTTGAACAGTGATTGTAGTTTGCAAGGGTTGTTGAGTCACGAGGCTCGGTACTTGGCTTTGAACAGGGATTGCAGTTGGTTGAATCTGAGTAGATACCACCTGTGTGGTATGTATCGGCACCTGACTGGCAGCTTGCGTTTGTCCCTGTACACCTTGAGTTTGGCTGGTTGGAGTTCCAAGAATTTGACCATGTGTAATTGCCATCATCTGTCCGTGATTTTGTGTATTCGAGTATTCCAGCCCTGGCTCTTGTTTGATTTTAACTGTTACGTCAACTTCAGCTTGTACTTGTGATTTCACTGTGCTTTGAATTCGGGTTGGTACGGTCGCTTGGTCCTGTACTTGACTAGGTGTAGACGCCATTTCACATTTTCGACTCGGTGTAGAGTCTACCACCCCTTGCTGTTGACTGACATTACTTTGCCCACTATCTTCTGCTTGCTTTGGTGTTTCTCCTCGTGTTTCCCTGTTTCTCTCAGGCCCACGTGAGATACCATACACCTCTTCGCAAAATTTATCAATGACATTGAAAAGGGGATCATAGCTTGAATTAGTTGAATTACTGCTAATTGACGCGTGTGCAGAGGGGGGAGCATTGCTAACTTCTTTACAAAGTTTTTCAACCTCGCCGGTTAATGATGATAATTGTTGGTAGATATCTCCACCATTACCAGAACCATTGCCAGATGTACCTGTAGACGTACTAGCACCATCAGCTGGTTTTTCAGACGTGTTTGTTGAGGTGAAAGCACCTACAGGGATCATTGCACGATACGAACCAGCTTGCACTTGGGTTGGCAAAGCATTCCGAGGAATTCTTGGCCGTTTTTTTAATTTGTCTCCCACAATGTTATTGATGTGATCACTTGCTGCTGTTTGCTTCATTTCACTGTCTCCAGCGTGCGAGTCTACTGAAGTACCAGTAGTTGGTTGAGTTTGTCCGGTTGCTAAAACACCGTCCAGTTTCCCGCTACACTTGCTATCATCAACCTCTTTCTTAAAAGCAACATTACTGTTGGGAACTTGTGATACTTCAGTGGATTTTCCAAGATGTTGTTCAGGTGGAGGCAATACTCGTTCACCATTCATTTCATCATTACTTGTCACTGGCGTAGAGCTACCCGATGAAGATTTGCTTTCAACACCCGTTTGCTGTTCTAGAGTACTGTCAGATCCATCAGCGCTAGTCAGATCATTCTTAGCTGCTGGAATCTGAAGTGATGTTTTCGTTGTGGCTTTCTGTTCTGTGATGCTATCAGATTGCTTATTCTTGGCCTGGCCCTCAATGGAATTGTTTTCAGAACTTGACAAGCTTTCACAAGACTCCCTGCGAGATGTTGTGTTTCTTATCCCTGCCTGTTGACGCTCTCGAAGATTTGTTATAACATCCTCAATTCGTTTCTTTGACCGATGCTGGTCTGTGGGAGGACTGGGACTAGATCGGTTAGACTGGAGTTGTTCCATCAATACTGGACTAGGAGATGTTCCATGCTGTTCCATTGATAAAACACTGGAACTTGATAGGTGCTGCTCTATGGATAGAGGACCAGGAATTGATGAGTCCGAAGTTGAAGGACTTGTCGATGAACTGTCCTGCTCAATGGCTACAGCAGTGGGAGTCGATGTACCAACTGGTCTTTCTATTCTAGTTCCCACTGGTTTTAAATTGTAAAATAACTCGCCCAGCTGACTGAGGTTGCCCTTCAAGGAACCACGTCCGGTAATTTTGCCACGAAGCCTTTGCCAAGCGCACTGTATCTCATCAGACGAGCTGAACGAAAGCTGCGAATCCGCAGGAGTTTGCGGAACAAACTCTTCTTGTGAAGACGACAGAGTTCTGGATTGTGGAATTTCATCATGAGGTATTTTTGCTGTCAAGTCTGGTGATGGAAACATATGTTTTGCTGCTTTACTTGTTGTTAAGGGTTCTTTTACGCGTGATAAATCATTCATAAATTCATCTTGGACCTCTCCCTGCTCATCTGTACACATACCAGGCAGAGCTCCTGCTATTGCGGAAGATGACAGTCCAGATTTGCTTTCTTGATTAGACTTTTCAACAACTGTTGCTAGCGTATTGCCCACTACTTCGCTGTCTGAATGCACGTGTTTGGTCAGTATTCCTGTCACAAGAGTTGGCTCTTCTTGGTAAGGGGAAAGACTTCTGGTTTTGGTTTGAAGAATTTCTTCATTTGGTGTTTGAGTTGTTAAATCTGGAGATGAGTTGATAGGAAACAGACTTTTTGCTGCTTTCTCTACTCGAGTTGCCTCTTGTCTTATCTTTCTTTTTAACGACTTGAACTTCGGCATATTTAGCTGAATTTCCAGCTTCGGTGATACAGCTTTACTTTCTTTGCCTTGGACGTTGGGGGCTTTTGGTTTCTTTGCTTTGGGTTCTTGTACAGTTCCTTTATCAGAAAATTTCCTTTTGCGGTTAGACGAGGTTTTCTCAGAATTCCCATCCAATGGAGAATCGTTTCGTCGTAGCGTTGATCTCGCTTCATTTAAGGATCCAAATGGTATATCAATATCATAGCTATCTTCGTCCATGGTAAACAAAGTATCGTTGGAGGTCGAGGCATCCAAGTCTGTACCATTCCAGTCTGGGTCGTCCACGTCGTTCGTGTCGTCCACGTCATTGCCATCATCTGGTTCACTTTTCACTCGCTCAAGTAGATTCCTTATATATTGTTCATCCTTGTCATCGTTATTATTACTTTTATCTAAATCATCATCACTCTCAATGTAAATAATATCAATATCCCCGATTTCCTCCAACGCCAAATCATCTTCGTTCTTGGAGGAATTTTGATCCTCGTCGTCCTTCGAGAGCACTCCAATAATATCCGTAGCATCTTTAGCTCTGGCAATGTCGATCGGTTTAAGTCCTTCTGAATTGGGTAGATCACAATCTGCACCGTTTTCAATTAGAAGTTGTAAAATTTCAGCACCTTTATCATGCTGTGCCACTATATGCATAACAGTGTTTCCATCTATATTGCGATAGTTTAATAATCCCATATCAAGTTCACAAGTTATCCGAACTAGTATCTTCAGCATTTCGGTGTAAATTCGATCAAACCGGGAATCACTTGTCAGCGGCCGCTCGACAAGAACCTTTGCAGCAACATGTATAGGCAAGTCCTTATTGTCATCCTTTGACTGTAATAAAACCTTCAGAAGCTTGACAAGTTTTTTAAAAGTCTTGAGTATATTACCAGAGTTCTCCCGCAGTGCTGAGTACCCGCATACCATAAGGCGATGTAAGGCAGTCTCACTCCGCTGTCCCCACCTCTTGTTGAGGTCCAACCCTTGTTCCACACACCACTTGAGGACCATTGCATTGCCAAGGACTGTAGCCCAGTGGACGAGGGGGTATCGAAATTCCGGATCGGGATCCTCAATTGGATCATCAATCTTCCAACCTTTCTTCATAAACCTTGTGATTGTTCTTGTAAACTTGTTGTATCCTCTCTCGTCGACACAGTTTATGACCGCGACCAGAATTTTGTGGTGTTGGCCAGCATATTTGCACCTGCCCTCGCAAAATGGCGTGCATTGACGGTGAATGACGAAACTTTCTGGTGAGACCATTACTGAAAAATAAATATAGAGATTTGTATGACTATGAGACTAATGTTTGTTCAGGATTTGCGAAAGATTAGTCAAAAAATATTGTTTTATTTTGATGAAAAGTTGTCAAAGTTTGATCAAATCCTGGGCCTGGATAAAGTTTAGAACAAGTTCTAGGACTTGATAAAGTTTAGATTAAGTTCTAGGACTTGATAACGATAGTAATACTACCAATACTAATAATAATTTATTTGCCAGTGTATCCACAAAGTGGCTCTTCGACTGCGAACCAACCTAATATACACTCATTTCAGTGATAATGTCACAAGTTCCCTTTTCATATTTTATTAGCAACAACATCACTGTTCAATCAATTTTTAGTGCAATAATATACATGAAAAAAATTATCATTTCTGATTGACTAAGAGCAGTGTAATTTGTCCGGAATACAGTGCAAAAAATGAAATACTGTGCAAAAAAAGAAATACACACTGCAAACTTTTTAAATTTTCTTAATTTTTCTATTTTTCAAATCTCTTAATATTCTTAATTTCTAAATGTGACTTATGGACGTGACTGCATAATTTTTTCATGTATATTATTAATAAGTAATAGTATGGTTTCTCGTGGAATTTGAAAAAACATACACTCGTGAGTTTTTCAAGGACTTCAAATTGCACTCGTCCTTCGGACTCATGCAATTTTGATCGTCTTTGAAAAACTCCCTTGTGCATGTTTTTTCCAAATTGCACTTGAAACCATACTATTACCTATGGGGCCATTCACAAAGGATGTCCGGCCAAATGATAGATTTTCAGACCCCCCTCCCCCCCCCTTGTCCGGCATTGTCCGAATTAGTGACCCCCTCCCCCCGGACATCCGCCATGCCTCGCAAAAACTCACACAACCTTGTATATGTCAAGAGTAAAAAACTTTTTTTACTTTTAGAACTTTTTATAACTATAAATGTGAATACAAAAACATATAAATTACTAATTAAAACAAAATCTGAAGTATTAACAGCATAGTCAAATGCCAATTTCACAATGGGAGGGAGAGTTCAAAATAGAGGGGAAAAAGAAATTTGTTTTTGAGATTTTTTAAATTTGGGCATCAGTTGCTTTAAAACCCCCCCCCCCCTATGTCTGAGTTTGTCCTGATTTTCCAAACCCCCTCCCCCCCTCGGCTCGGACATCCTCTGTGAATGGCCCCTATACATATTGGATTTATAATTTCCCCCACAAATCATTATGCACTTTGACTTCAAAAATTGTTCCAATTTCTGGCTGGATTTTGTTTTTTCAACCCATTGAGTTCCAGCACTCTCCCCTAGGCAAATAAAATTGTCTGGCATTAGAGTAAAATATTATGGCGTTAGACAGAGTAAAATATTCTTTTTGTCTTTCTATATATATATATATACTTTGTAATACATTAATTAATGCAAGTCCTTTTTCAAAATCATGTTAATGAAAACGTTTCCTGAATATTATTATTATTATTATTATTATTATTATTATGAGTCAGAGGTGTAGCCAGGATTTTTGGTCAGGGGGGCCAGCAAAAACCTACATGGGGCCAGGCTTCACTTATTTTTATAGAATGAATTTTCTCATGGGGGCCCAAAATTTTACCAGGAGGGGTTGAGCCCCCCGGCCTGGCACTCCTCTGTTATGAGTAAAGTAGGGCACATCAAGATGTATTGCCAATTAAAGAGTTAACAAAATACAAAATAATAGACACTCTATAATGAATCGCGACATTCTCTGGATAGATATTTTTATTTACAAACTTTCGACTATGAGATGTACTGTATAGCCTTCAACAGGTGAAGGAATATGAATTTACAGTGATGGAATGTAACAATATATGTGAGTGGTTCAAGTGAAAATGAAACGTTATGCATAACATACAGAAAATGACTTTTTTACTATTTCATAACCAACATGTCAACTAATACATTTTCCGTATTACGGCATCTTCTATATATCATTCATGTTATCGTCAACTCGACAATTAGTTTGAACAACTTATGATGGCTTAAATCAATGTTATACAAGGCAACTTTTGCAATTTCGGACACAGAGTCATGTTATCTAAAAAGTAGGAAGATTGTGAGCACGTCCCCCCCCCCCTCCCTGGCCACAAAAATTAAAGAAATGGGATTTAAACTGTCACCAGGAGGCTCCATTTACTGTTCGGAGTACTCCAGAAATCGAACCAATAATGGTCACATGACTGTTCCCTACTTTTGAGTAGCGGCATTCAGAACCGTCATGTGACCGTTTTCGGTTCGATTCAATTAGTGTTCTGAAAATCCAGTAAATGGAGCAGCCTCCAGAGTAAACCAATGGCCATGCTCAGAATTTCCCAGCAATCACATTCACATGATGGAAGGCAAGATGATTTTGATGTAATGAAATAAATCACTAGGCTTATACAAAAGTTCATATGCTGCTCAAAAGAACTCAAATGTTGTCGAGAAGATCCTGTAGTTGAAGAAGATTATTATTGCTGCTTGAATAACTTTTAGTTTACAATTATACTGTAATCTATCACTAGAAAAATGATGTAGTTTTGCAGACTTAATTCAATACATCAAAATTAGCCCGCCTCACAGTCCCAGCAAATGAGCAAAACGGGATCATAAAATATGGCTGAGCTGTATCACAGATATTTCGTTTGAAAGTTGCAGCAAATCCTCGTACACAAATGTGGGCTCAAAATAAAATTGATCATTATTAGCAGTAGTCTTGTATTTGGAAGCAATAAATATGATTAAGTTTTTAATGTAATATTGTAATTGCTCTTTATAGATTCCTGAAGTTGATTAAGTCGATTAAACCATTTGATTGCTGTCTGCCAAACCGCCATTATTAAAATATTTGATCCTAGCTTGATCAAATATATCCCACCCGATCGCCTTTATGTAGAAAAATTCCATCACTAACCACCCACAAATACACAAACATATAATAATTATAATATATTTCACCTGAATACAATATCCCGCAAACCAAAACAACGACATAAACTATGTACTGAATTCATACAAATACATTTTGATCCTGGGTCATTGTACAGTCATTTCCCACGCTTACCTGCAAATTTCCCGCTTTAAACGCTTCGTTGAATGTCTTACAATATCTCAAATGGTTCCTTTCTTTATGTGAATCGCAAAGAACTTGTAAAAATGACCAGATTCCGTATAATTATGCAAGATTTAATGCAAAAAGTCCTTGAGATTCCAGATTGATCTGTGCGTCGTAAAATGAGGAATGGAAATAAACAAAATCTCTCATTGTGACGTCATTGATTAAGGCAAACCGCTTGTGTGACGTCATGAGAAGGTTCATTTGCATACAGAACGCGCGCGATTTGCGCCAAGATGCGTCCGCTATCGCAGGGCGCAACAATTTCGATTTTTCTGCTACAATTTTGCTGCATTTCCAATGGAAATTCTTATGTTTTAAAGAGAGACGTCCCAGCGATTAGTTTGATGTAAGTTTCTTTAAGTATATAGTGATTACAGTTGATTTTGGTACAGATTGTTTTGTTAGTATGACTGAGTGTCAATATGTCTCAAACGTGGGTGCCCAGTGCAGATAGTATTCTACAGCAAGTTGTCGTGGTTTACGTTTGAACTACTTTGAAAAGATATCTTTAGTTGAGAGTCTAGTGTAGATAGTGTTCTTGAGCAAGATAATTTGTACTGAATTGAACTGGCTCATTCTTTAATTCGAAATTTCTAACTATTTTACGATGTTATTGGTAAACAACTATAATAGAAAAGCCTTCGTCAAGAGATTAGGGACTTCAAGACTTAATCTGGTACGTGATTGGGGGAACGTGACAATTAAGGAACAGCCTTAAGCTTTCCACTTTTCATTATAAAGAACTACCGTTATATACTTGTTATATTAGGAACCTCAACAGTCAAGCAGGGTAATGCAATGAAATTCATACTGACTATTGAACAATTCAAAAAGAAATGAACAATTAAAATCCCACGGGAGTTTTAGACGTCATTCTCAGGGGCGCCGGAAAGTCGATAATTGGGGGGGGGGCAGATATTCATATATTCATGTTCTGCATCATTTATTTCCTTTGAAAGCGATTGTTTTTACAGTCTGTGAACATGAATATATGAATATCTGCCCTCCCCCCCAATTAT